GGATGATGAGTCAGACCCACTCGGATCGAAAAATCAATTTGAAATAACGTGCCGGGTCAAGTGTGATAATGAGGCATTCGTCTATCCGGTCTATCTGTGAACCTTTAAAACTTATCGAAAACGCTTCAAGAACTATGCGCGTTGATGCTTTTGATTCCTGAGTTGGCATCCGGGCAGTCACTTCAAAATATTCACGATTATGCTTTTGTGCTCTATTTGAACCTAGAGAGGGACTTTGGCAACATTTAACCTCGCATCAAAATTTTCTTTGGGCAAACACGAAATGCTCTACCCATTTCCACAATGTATTCTTCAGCGAGTGCCTTATCGGGAATTAAGTATGTTGTATCTGAGCTCATGCAATGCCCGTCTTTCCCGTCAGGACAGTGAAAGCAATAAGTGCTCGAAGAAGTAACTTTTTTTTGAAAGCAATTGAAATCTTTTTTAACTCGAAAGACCGACTTTCTATAAACCTTGGCATAGGTATATGATATATTTCAAGCTGACGCGAGGTTGGTACAGATCTTCGTTGTCCTTGTCGTTGTTGTTGATGTTGTTGGTCGATGGCTGACGTTTGGCCGACTTCGCCTTCCTCACAGCCTGGACGTATTTTACATTAGAATATTTTTATTATTAGGTGAAAAAAGGCTAGAGTATTAATGATGATCAAACTTCCAAATAGAGGCCATAATGAACAGAAACGCCGCTCACCGTGATATTTCGTGATGGACTGGCCCACACGTGGTGAATGGGGCATGCGAAACCAATCCGTTCTTCATTAACATCGTTTGTGTTGGATTTACTCGATGACCAATCTTTCCACAAGCTTTATCAAAGTCGTCAAGCATTCGTTCTGCTTGGCTAATGTTTGGTGTTATAAGAACGACGTTATCAGCAAAGCGAAGATTATCTTTCCGGAGCTCCGGAGCTAAGTCGTTCACCGTGTTGATTTCACGACCTAGATTGACGTAATTAAAGCACTTGGGGATACTCGTTCGGTTGAGCGCCAATGTGGCATACACAACCAATCCGCTCCTCATAAACATCGTTTCTTTTGAGATTTATTCGAAGACCAACCTTTCCAAAGTGATTATCAAAGTCAGTAGCATTCGTTCCACCTGGCTAATTTTTGGCGGTATGAGAATAATGTCATCAGCAAAGCATCGATGGCGTAATTTTTGAAGATCAATTTTCCTTCTTATGTTGTCCTATATGAATGTTGGCATGACGTTCTCAAGGACCGTAGTAAATATTTTTGGCGAGATCGACAACCTCGTGTAGACAAGAGTGCCGACTCCTCTCTTTTCGCCTGTTCTGAGGAACACTTCTTTTCCGGTGTGATAGGCGGCATTGAATGGGTGGCGTCGTAGCGTCTTGGCCGGTCCGATGACGTCGTACCTCATCTTTCTCAATTGCATGATCAACTCTTCTATAGAGGACTGAGATACAAGTGTACTTGCATTGGAGATGCAAATCGTCATCTTAGTCTTTTGCGATTTTCTCAGCTTAGAATGGTCCTGAGATTTTTGCAGTCTATCCCAACCCGACCTATTCAGCGCAGTCGTAATGGAGGACCTTGTAAGGTCAGAGGAATGAGACCCGTTTATTTTACTGCGTTTAGCGCTTAATACCCACGTATAGCTTGCTGAACTCCGGACATGGGAATTGAGTATGCCGACTTGTAGACTGCGGTTCCCTCGCCGAGTACACATAGAAAATAGGAACTACTTGGGGAATACCCAAGACCGACTTTCCGTTAACCTCGGCATTAATTGATAATTAATTGTTTTTCTTCAATAAGCAGACACGAGGTTGTTATTATAGAATTTATTAGAATACAATAGCTGACGTTTCGGCGGTTTCGCCTTCTTCAGAGCCGTTTATTTGTTGTAAGTATTTAAGTTAGTTGATGGATAGCCGCCGCACAAAGTAATACATGGGCGATAACTCGTTATGACTCATGAAGCGTTTTAGATCAACTCCAAAGATTCAAAAATGAACCGCAGGGAGGAGGAAGAGGATGCATAGCTATTGTATTCTAATAAATTCTATATTAACAACCTCGTGTCTGCTTATTGAAGAAAAACATTGAATTATTTGTGGAATAGTTCCTATATAATTCCCATGACCGACTTTCTGTTAACCTCGGCATTAATTGATAATTCAATGTTTTTCATCAATAAGCAGACACGAGGTTGTTAATATAGAATTTATTAGAACACAATTGCTGACGTTTCGGCGGTTTCGCCTTCTTCAGAGCCTGGAAAGGTCAAATTGAGATTTATCAAGTTTTATCTGCTAGGGTTATGAAAGTGTTTGGCTGAGTAGATCGCATCTCAATTTGACCTTTCCAGGCTCTGAAGAAGGCGAAACCGCCGAAACGTCAGCAATTGTGTTCTAATAAATTCTATATTAACAACCTCGTGTCTGCTTATTGATGAAAAACATTGAGTTCCTATATAGTTCCTATACAGTTGCTCCTCAATGTGAAACATTCATAATCAAATCTAATCACTATCTTCATGCGTTTTGCTGCAGTTATTATTTGTTCTCCATTCTATGTTGTGAGGTGTGAGTACTCACACAAACATGTTGAAGAAACACTATGTAAAGTATGTCACTTGTAAGGTTTTAATCCGCGAAAACGATGTGTGCTACTCTGAAACGGTTCTCAAGGCGTTTGGTCCTCTCCACTTTCTTAATTGGTGTTTTTAAATAGGACGGCAAACGTGAAAAACCCGCTTTTATAAACCACGTATGAGATTTCCGCTTGCAGTTTTACGAATCCGGCTGGATCGAAGCGTTGGCGGCAGATATTCACGTAAAGGTTTCCGCAAGAGTGATCGTGATGAACAATCGACCCCAGATCATTCTCAACCACTGCACTGCGGACGTCACTCACTTTGATATCGAGTATGCAGATCAGTAAAAACATAGGAATCTTGTAGTTAATTAGGCAATAGCTTAGCTCTACTTGGGATGTTTCAAGGGTGTTCTGCAAGAAAGGACGAGGAAAGTGACTGAAAGATACATCACTGGCTGTTGTTGCCGCACTTGTACTCAAATGAACGTCGAAAACACTAAATTTTTCTTGGAATTGAAAACATTAAATTTACTAACAATACGCAGAATAGCTATCTAGTAATTTTTTGGTTACTTCTGAGTTAAAATAGTGGCTGAAATGCTTTTTTCCGAACTAAGCCTAACATTTTGATGAAGGAAACATGGAAGTAGCAAGTAGGTTAAACCTGCCTGGATGTGAAAAATTGTTCTAATAAAATATTCTAGTCATAAATGGAGTTCAGAATCGGTGGAGGAGTGCTACCATGGCTAGTAAATTTATTCCAAGAGATTATATCGATGGAAGTCAGGAATGCTATACATGGCCAGGTTGGAAACATTTGAAAAGGGATAGCAAAACTATGTACAGCAAAATTTGCAATGTTTTACCTTGTGGTTGGTATCATTCTGTGATAAGAGCGTAACTTGTCAATGGCTTTACTTCTCGATCTTAATCGGTCGTCCAGGAACAGTTTAATTCCACATTTCCAGCAATTGTGGTGAACTTAAGGGTGTGTGTGGCACAGTGATCGGTGGCGCCCTGCAGCACTCACGCGGAATCGATTCTCGCACCCATGGCCCACCAAGCCCTCCGGGATCGGAAAATTGGTAGCAGACTTGCCTGGGAGGATAGCAGCGCTGGCTCGATACATCGGTAGGCCACAGCGAGTCATTGTAAAAGCCAGATATGCATTCAATCACCTCATACGACGCTTAGTGAAGTCGAATGCACGCTCAACCCCTCAGAGATCGATCAACGCCGAGTGCTTTATCCTTTAAGTACTTGGTTTGCTCGTCTTGCATCTCTCATAAACGGTGCTTTTATGACAATGCGTAAATGTTCAGTTGGAGGCTGACAATTTCTTAGTAGTCCCAATGAGTACACTCTTCGCAGCCGCCGAGCATCATATATTTCTTCTTCATCGAGGCGAACAACAAGCATGGACCATCGACTCGGATCACCGGCTCTGAGGAAGACGAAGACGTCGAAACGTTAGCCGAAAATAAATATATTTATCAACCTCGTGCAAGCTTATCGAGAAAGAATACATATTGATTAGTCACACCGAGGTTTAGGGAAGGTCGGTTTCGAAATATTCCTACGCTGTCCTTCACCCATATTGCGAAAAGAACAACAATTAGGGTCTAAAATACCATGAAACATCGGCTTTTTTGGTATTTCATGCAGCAGAACTTTACCTTCTTCATAGCCAAAATGCAATTAAAAGCGCTTCGAAACTAAAAATGGCGTTTGTGGAGAAATTTCATTAACAGTTTCATGCTAGGAACCTTCGCCATTTTCAAAGGATCGCCAAGTTCCTGTTCCTCGAAAGGTGGTTGAAAAAATTCGAAAACCTCGTATTGAAAAAACGACTCGTTTCGGTTTCTTTGCTACCTCATTCATGCAGTCATCATCCTCGACAAACGGTCCATCTGTCGTGAATGCACAACAAGGGAGTTTAGTGCAAAGTTTCATAAAAGGGGTCTGAAATTCTTTTATACATGAGGATAATTCACGATATGATTACCTGTTAATAACCACGATGGTGCTGAGAATTTTGTAAAACTATCTGAGTAATGAGTAATCTATTTTGAACCGACCTGCCACACTATCTCCTTTGGATTAGCTTTCAGGAATTATTGACACCGATCTTCGAAGAATCCCTCTGGTAAGGAAGCAAATTGCCCTCTAATGCACAAGAACTCCTTATGAAATCTACATAGGACTACGGTGGACCACAAATGCTAATGAGGACAGATAACGACGAAACCTCATATAGCAGCTGAATCGGCATACGAACTCAATAATTTCTATAGGTAAGGTCTACATACATTGAATGGAATAGAAGAGCCACTAGGACTACCACAACACGTAAATATTGGTCATCTAGGCACCAAAAGACCTCAGAACCTACGAGGAAAAGTAATCATTCCAACACTTACTTTGGGGAATGGAACTTCGTGACGTTTAGTTTATAGACTGACACAGTTCCATGGCCTGGTCCGGCTGTAACGTGATTGCACGTGATAACTGGAAGTGTAATTTTCGGCACTTCTATGTCGACCTTAAAATTTAAAAGATTATATGAGTCAAGAAAGTTAGAAGTACTGATTCATGTGAAAGCGGGAAGCCGAAATAGAATGTGAATTGTTGCAAACTATGCTTCTCCGCTACATGCTCATCCTCCTTTTGCTTGAGAACTTAAACGCTTACCACATGATGTGCAGTTTTTGAGAAGAACTTGAAGGCGGCAAGATTTATTCTTGCCTTCAAGTTGGCGACAGTTGGTGGTTCAACAGCACTGGCATTGGCGATCAACAACGTCAAGAGCAGATAGTAAGCGCTCATTGTCATTAGGAATCCTGCTTGTGCTGCCGTCCTTTTCGCTTCGGTATCAGTTTCCCGTAAACAAAGACCCCTCGCAGCATCATTACTCCAGGATATTTCACGTGTACATCACCTGAACATGCAACCAGCGGCAATTCTAGACCAATTTGAGAGAGAACACCGGTTGAATTGTTAGATCCTAAGAAAGAAATAATCGAACTCGAAGAAGGAAAGTCAAAGACAACATGCAAACTCTTTTCAGTCAGTGAAGCAAAATGATAAATAGAATAGCTTCATGCGGGGGGGCATACTCATTGAGAATTTTCAATCAGTTCATGGTGGACAAATCGCCGTATTCGATCTGGTAGTGCTAATGTGATCAGACACACTTAACTTTCCTAAAGAAGAAGAAGTAAAGCTCACAGCGTTTTTTCAATCATATGCACTTGCATCGCCAGATGAGTGCTGCATTCATAAACTTTCTGATAACTGTGATTATAAACGCTCCCACAAATTTCCTAAAACAAACACATTTTTTATTTCCGTTGGACAGCTCGAGAAAGGAGAGTAAAAGCAGCATCCGCAACAGCAGGCGAAACCTTCGCAAACCTTCGTCTACGATGAATGCGAGGAAAACGAATCGAATTCAAAAAGTGCTGAGACTATCAAAATAGATGTGATGACTGGTTGTGTAAAGAATTATTAGACAGACACATAGTACATGTAATCGTCGTGAAGATGTAGATATCCAACAGAATGAATGATTTTGGAGGAGCTGGAGTTCACAAGTGACATGTTCACTAATTTCTTTCAGTGCAATGGTTTCGTTAAACCATTATGTACTGTGCCTATCACACTTTTATAGTAATACCGTAGATTACCTTGCACCCAATAACATTTTTTTACAAACAGCGCTGCTAGCAGGTTTACCAACTTCGCAATATACAACAATTACTTGAAATTTATATTCCTTATACATAGCACTCACTTGCTCCTTACAGTTTACATTTCTTGCACTGAGTCTACACCTTTAACGGTCACTGTAAGAGTTCATGTGGGGCAGTAGCCTGAGACGCCCTGCGACACACATGGGATCGATCCATTCGCCCATGGCTCACCAAGCCTTCCATCCCTCCAGTGTTGGCAAATTGGTGCCATATTTGTCTGAGAGCATAGGCAGCACTGTCTCGGTACATCGGCATGCCACCGCAAATCATTGTAAAGGGCAGGTATATGCATTCAATCACCTCCAACAATCCTTAATGAAGTCGAATGCGTGGCACATCTTTCAGGGATTGATCAACGCCGAGAGCTTTATGTTTTATCCTTTTACGGTCACTGTTGAAACAATCTAAACAAGATTTCTTTTTACACTGGCTGCACCTAACCTAACCTGCCCAACAATTTTTGTGGGCAACATGCAGTGGGAATGTCTGGTTATTTCCTTTCCTTTGTTCAGAACGGGCATCGGACGAGTTCTTTTTCAACACGCACGAGGTTTAAATATATTGAAAAGAAACATAAAGAAGGTGGAGGGACGAGATGGCTACGTTAAACATGATGACCTAAGAAATAAATGAAAAAATAGATAGGGAAATTGAATCAATGAACGCTAAACGCTTGCTTCTCTAATCTCTTCAACAATCACCTTCTACGAAGCCGTTGTTATTTTAGAAAGTGGAAAACTTTTATACCACTTTGACTGCAAGTAAAATCTTCACAAGGGTGCATGTGGCGCAGTGGTTAGAGGTACCTTGCAACACAGATGAGACCAAACTCCGCACCCGTGGCTCACAAAGCTTTCCATACCTCCGAGGTCATCAAATCAGTGCCAAACTTGTCCGAAAGGATAGAAGGACTGGTGCATCGGTAGACCAGTGCGAGCCATTGTGAAGACCAGATATGCGCTTCTAACGAGGCCTAACGAAGTCGGATGCATGGCGCATCTCTCAGTGTTCGATCAACAGAGGATTTTATCCTTTATCCTTTAGCATCTTCATTGATCTTCATCTTCATCTTCATTTAATATGTGCCTAAGATTTCGGTTCTCCTCGCCCTTCATTGCCACAACAATTCAAGTGGCAACAATTCAGTGTTCACAGCAGTTAATTCTGGCAATATGAATTATTCCTAGTTTTGTTGAATCAAATCCAGTGAAGAGAAACACTACAAGAAGCAGAGTACTTGTTTTGCTTAGAGCGCTAGTTTTTTTTAAACCACCATTATAAGAGTGAGGTTGCACTTTCGCACCCATACGAGAATCGGGAGGAAAATGAGCACACTGAGCAGTTACATTATATTTCCTCGACACTTTCAATCGATGCGGAGATGAAAAACAGGAGCTTCGGTGCCATATGAAGTGAATGGCCACGGCAAATTTTGATGTGACTCACAGTCGCTGTCTCTCATAAACTCTTGCTTAATACACCCTTTTATTGAATCTGACCATTGCGAAACGGGAGATGTGGTGCCTACGTGCTATTCTTAATATAAAGCGGGAATGGGACTGAAGAAGAGGCAACGTCGAGCAACGAAACTATACATCTTCGTAAGCCAACGACGTCAGTTTGGTATGACTACTAATCTGTCGTTCACTTCGATTTGCTCGCTAGTGACATATAAACTTTATAAGGAGCGATTGTTAGGTTTAGAAGGTGTGCTTCAAGGAGAAGGACAAAACGTTCTTCACAAACCAAGAAACTAGCTTTTATTTTTGTACACGATAGGAATTAGGGCAAGAAGACGAAAAGTGTTGTAGGGAAACCTACTAGCAAAATCTTTTCGCTGGTGCACCTTATTACCTCTTCAATAAATAAATGAGGTTGTTGCATCAATTTTCTCTGACCTATTCGCATTAGAAGAAAACAGGATGGCATCCATGCACAACAGGATGCGTGTCACGTGGAATGACGAGAGGACCCATCCAGGTCAGAAAATCAACTTGAAATAAGGCTTCAGATTATGTGATAGTAAGGTATTCGTCTTCTCGGTTCAACTTTGGATTTTTGAAATTTATCCGGACCGCCTCAGAAGTCTTGCGCATTGGTGTTGTTGATTCTTGTGGCAGGATTCGGACAGTCACTTCAAAATCATTATAATTTTGCTTTGGAGCACCATTTGCACCTAGTGGAGCACCTGGAGAATTTTCGGTTTCCTGTGTAGATGTGCTTTCATGCGGATACAAGGCGAAGTACCCGCTTCGCCGTGTTTTTTACCGCATGCCTCACATGAGATTAAGTACATTGTAGCTGAACATTATTTTACTATTAACCTCGGCATTGGATTATAAAAACCCCGTTTTCTCGCTAAGTAAATTTCTTCGATAAACTAAATTTCTAAAAAAAAAAAAAAAAAAAAAATTTAAGTATTAGCGTGCCCTTCGAGGCTCTGAATCAGGCGATGCTGCCGAAATGTCGGCGAGGCGTACTAATACATGCGTGCGTGTGCGCGTTCTCGTTTATGCGCATTTATTCTATGACTCAGTTCGGCCAAAAGCCTGCAGTCGAGTATCAGGTAAGTTCATGGAGGCGGTTAGGAGTGGTCTGCAACAAATAATCTCTTGTGTGTACTCGGCGAGGGAACACCAGTCTACAAGTCGGCATACTCAATTCCCACGTTCGGAGTTCAGCAAGCTATACGTGGGTATTAAGCGCTAAACGCAGTAAAATAAACGGGTCTCATTCCTCTGACCTTGCAAGGTCCTCCATTACGACTGCGCTGAATAGGTCGGGTTGGGATAGACTGCAAAAAACTCAGGACCATTCTAAGCTGAGAAAATCGCAAAAGACTAAGATGACGATTTGCATCTCCAATGCAAGTACACTTGTATCTCAGTCCTCTATAGAAGAGTTGATCGAGCAATTAAGAAAGATGAGGTACAACGTCATCGGACCGGCCAAGACGCTACGACGCCACCCATTCAATGCCGCCTATCACACCGGAAAAGAAGTGTTCCTCAGAACAGGCGAAAAGAGAGGAGTCGGCACGCTCGTGTACACGAACTTGTCGATCTCGCCAAAAATATTTACTACGGTCCTTGAGAACGTCATGCCAACATTCATATAGGACAACATAAAAATGAAAATTGATGGTCAAAAATTACGCCTTCGATGCTTTGCTGATGACATTATTCTCATACCGCCAAAAATTAGCCAGGCGGAACGAATGCTACTGACTTTGATAATCATTTTGGAAAGGTTGGTCTTCGAATAAATCTTTAAAAAAACGATGTTTATGAGGAGCGGATTGGTTTCGCATGCCCCATTCACGCTCAACGGAACGAATAATTCTGAATGCTACAGTTATAACTATTTAGGTCGAGAAATCAATAAAATGAACGACCTAGCTCCAGAACTGAGCAGAAGGGAACGGGTGGCTTGGAGAGATTTCGTGAGCATCGAGGAGGTAATGAAGAAGACAAATAACAACGACTCCTTGCCCACCTTTTGCCTCAGTGATACTTCCTGCTTTAACGTATGCGTTTGAAACCAGGTCGTTGCGTAAGCAGGATGATAGACCACTCAGGGCTATCGAACGTGCAGTCGAAAGGCGAACGAGAATCTAGAACAAGTAGAACCTACAGGGCTACTCTTGCATGCCGTAACACACTTTCGAATGCTGCGGCAGCTACTTTCATAGCGGACTAGAGTAACGTGTACCAACTAACAAATTATATGCCACTTGTACCCATTAGCGATCGAGAAAGAAAAGCCTCTTCTTCTGTATTTCATTCACGTTTGCAATTCCTCAAATCTTCTAGTAATCAAAAAAGTATCAACTATAGCCAAAAAGCCGGCCAGTCCTTATCACCCAGGAATTAGGCTTAGTACCAATCTTCGCCCACGCGAATATGGGTGTCTTCGAAAATGTGTTGATGACTCACAAGTTCATGCTCATGGCTCATGCACACCAAAGTATTGTCCATTCACCTCGTTAATGGAAAAGGCGTTCAACGTTGTTGACTGTTTACTGTGTGCTGACACCTACGATTATAAATCCGTGGTATTTTCCGTGGCACAGCGTTTTAT